ACCATTCTCACTGAAATCAGCAACACCAGTAAAACGACAAGGTGGCCATGCTCCCATTTATTATCGCATCACTGATTCTACCCAAATCGCCAAGGTGCCGATGAAGAAGCTTCTTGCCCATTCAAAGACCAAGGGCGAACTTACTATGTTTCTCGCAAAGAATGTGAAGGATAATGCTAATGGGAGACAAGTCGTTGTGGCATGGGGAAAGGAATGTGAGGCAACGCACAGAGACGTCAGGCATTTACAAAGTACACAAGAAGAAGCCGACACAAAGATTATTTTATATGCTCTGGATGCGGTGGTTTGCAACCAATCTCTAGAGACACAGGTAACAATGGTGAAAGGAACAAATGCTGGTGGACGAACAAACGAAGCTAATGAGATATTCATTGTTTACGTCCACCAACATGGCGGCTATGACGTAACGTGCAAACCACCTATTGAGCTAACAAGCCAACTGGGAGCAGGCCGTTAAGTTGATTCGTAATAAACCCGTGATGATAAATCAGATACAATGAATATATGAAGTTCAAAATATATGCACTAGTATCGCAGAGGTCAGTGGTTCGAATCCCGTACAGGCCTAATTTTTTTCAGGTCTGATTTTCACTATTGCTTAAATAGCGCTATCTACTGCGAGGATAGTGCATCATGTGTTTCTAATACCGCAGTACAAAATATATGAACTTCATATATTTCATTGTATCTCATTTATCACTTTCACGGGTTTATTACGAATCAACTTAACGGCCTGCTCCCAGTTGGCTTGTTAGCTCAATGGGTAGAGCGCTGCACTAGTATCGCAGAGGTCAGTGGTTCGAATCCCGTACAGGCCTGATTTTTTTCAGGTCTGATCTTCGCTATTGCTTGAATAGCGCTATCTACTGCGAGGATCGTGCATCATATGTATACATACATACATCACCTTTATTTCACCTCGGATTTAAAAAAAACGTGAAAAGCTCATTACCTTTACTCTAGCGAAAATGAAGCATTTGCTTGACATTTCTTAGATCCTTGGGTCACATTCCGTCTCATTTCACAACAAAACAGTTTGTGGTAAATTGTTTTTTTGCGCAGTTCACTCAATCAAGGAAAAAGAACATGGATGACAGTAGGATGTCTGAACAAATATATTGTGAAATTCATACCGACTGACTAAATGCCTAGCTTTTGCACCATTTGGGCCTAATGTGGGAGAGATTACAAATCCCATGACGCTTAGCAATAAGATTTTGCATGTGTGTATCTTCAGTACCGCTTGTAACACCTTAACCGAAGAGTTTTAGTTGCGTAACATACACTAATGACGAATGAAAAGACCAACCGACTGGGCTTTTAATTTCATCGAATCTTAAATGTACACTTTCTTTAAAATATCAGGACCTTTGAATGACCTGGAAAAAAATTGTGAAGCGAGCTTTGAGAAAGCCGGCTTCAGTTTAATCAGCTGGTGATTTACACATGAAAATAATATCCCGAATATTGAACATGTTGCGAACATAGTTAATAGAGGCGCATTACTATTCTCATCTATCCTCTCCGCTTCCATTCGGAGTGTAGTAAACTAATTTGTTCCTCAGGAAGAAAAGATTTACTGCAGACTTGGTAAGTTCCAAAACAAACTCCTTTTCAGGGTTACTAGCAAATCATCCCCAACTTTTAAGAGATGTTGGTTGCCGCCTCGCTCCCCGATTACAATTAAATTGAAATGATGCTATGAGAAGAATGTGCACGTTGTTTGTGTAGGTGGTAGTTACGTCTTTCATTCCTACAGATTATCACAGTTCTTCAATGTCCTTCGTTCTCTCTAGCGTGCCCTTCTGTGTTCGAGAATGTTACGTGGGATGACATGGTTAACGGAGATTTTGACCTACAGCCTTGTCCCAGAGGAGCTAGAGGTTTGCACCTTCAAAATTATTTTTAACTCTTCTTCCTCTGAAGAAGCGATAATTCAACGATTCCCAGTGTTAGCTTACTATCCCATAGAGAGAAGGAGAAGTGTGAGGCCAAGTTTGTTAAAATGTTTGAAGTCTTACGTTCATGTCGTTTTAAGGTTTTGCCAAACGAAATTGTTCAGCGGCGGGATACTGGTACTACCCTGACTACACCAACTGTAAAAGTGACGGCTTTGACTCTCTCAGAGATCAGGTCAGGATAGAGGCTATATTTTTTATTTATTTATTTTGGTAATCAACATTAATCTTACGTATCTATTTGAGAAGCTTTTAGGAAGAAATTGGCCTCGCTTTAAAAGACTTCTCTGGTGCCCTTAGTAACAAAAGTGTGTGCTTTACCAATACCTCCAGTCCGTTAAAGATGGAACCTTGTGTCGAACATCTTAGCACCCTCAGCAAAAACAACAACAGATGAATCATTAAATGTATCAGACAAAAGCATAGGAGCATTTCGATCACAGAAATATCAAATGAACTTTAGTTCTCGGCCTCGAGTTCATTAGTACAATAGCCAAGAGATAAAAGTAGAAATACTGGTGTCACCGACAAAGTAGTGTCGTTTACTATGTATTGGTAGTTCCCGTCAATACAGGCGCAACTTGATGTAACGGTTCAAATTAGGTTTACTCTTGACAGCTCGAATTATATGCAAACGTTTTTTCCCTCATTGATGTAATCAGCACGAACTCTTACGGGTTATTTCTCTTCTCATAGTTCAAACAGTACTCAGCTGATACTTCTAACAAAGGCGACACGGAGAAGAATATCCTAACAGGCTTGCAACAACTCTTAACCCTCTTAAAACCACACGAAGATTTCGCAGTGCTGGCAGGAGACGCTGATACAAGCGCGGAAATGTTAGAAACTGTTGTAAATTATCTAACAAAAGAGAATAAAGATATTGCTCACAGTGAAGCTGAAATAAAGGTAACCAGGATGATTGTTTACATAATCACTTCCTTGTTTACTTGTTAAGTATCGTATGGGTGTGTAATTGTCAGCTTGGTGCACTGCCATCTTATATATAGCTCAGGGACTTTTCTTCAACTGGCGCTCAGATGCTCTCCATATCTACACTGACTTTGGTCCTTCGTGTTGTGTTCTCATTGTCTAGTGAAATCGTGTTTCTAGAGCTCTATTCTGCATGACTTTCATGTTTTATTTTTCAAAGGAACTCTTGCATTATTTTTGGATGATAATTTTGGATGTATTAATTAGGTTTATTCCATGTTATTTTAACACTTACTTTTGCAGGTGGATTCTGTGATTCTATTACGTTTTAAGGAAACGAACTTCGACTGACATTACATTATAATGTTGTGTGTAATGATCTTTTTCTGTCTCTCTTCTTTTCTATTTTTGCCAGCATGTCATCGACGTGGCGAACCATGTTCTTCACTGGCATAACGAGCAAGAATTAATCATGGCTCAAAAGGTATTTTTTTTTCAAATTACTCGCCGGTAATCATAAATGATAAACCAATAAGAAGGACCTGAAGTCCCTCAGGATGCGCTTTTTTTTTTTAAAAGACGATTAACTAGTCCATTTTATTTGCAGTTTTTACAGACCGCATCAAAATTCATCGGAGTTCTTGAGAAATATGGCCTTCAGGCTGCGAAGGTGGTTTCATTTGGAGAAGATAGAAATCTAGCAATATTGATAACTGAGCATGTTGGTAAGCTATCCCAAGGAGAATGAAAATTTAAACAAGAATGATATAAGGACCCAGATGTAGAACTAGTTAAACTTAAGGACCTGTAGAGCCCATGAGAGTTTTTGTTTTATGAGAAGAAAATTTGCTCTGATGTTTACACTAACAGTTATGGGTGCTGGAGTTGCCGATCCTGAAGGAATCTCAGAAGATGTTATTTTTCCAAACTACAAGTGGCCAGAGTTAGGAATGATCAAACAGCAATGGAACATAACAACGTTTGTGGTACTAAGTCAACAAATGCTTAAAACCATAAAAGTCGGTGAGTTAGCAACTTTGTTATTGATGTCTTTCGCAGCCCTTCTTTGAGATGTAACTAAAGAAACAAAACAAAACAAACAAAAAAAACACGAATACCAAGGAGACTACTCTGTTGTTTCTTTTGTATTATTATTCCGCCTTCCACCGAACTGCAGGAAGACCTGAAATCGGGGTTTTTTTGCCAAAGTTAAAATTAGACATAAATTGTGATGCAAGCCGGCTTGTGGTCGCTGTTGGTAGTTTTCTGTTAAAAGTCGCTTAAATGTTTTAGTTTCAATACTGTTAGTCTCTTGATATCTTAAATGATAAATTTGCACGAAGTTATTTCCAAATAATACATGTTAGTGAAATATTAATAATGGTTAGGTCTGAGGAACACAACCTAGCGAGTATCAAATTTACCCGGCATGCAGTACAAAAGGCAAATTTCAAAATCCGTCTGAGTGCGGTCACCTGGTTACACCGGGCCACGTTTTACAATGGGATTTAAAAATCATATTTGTTGTTTGACAAACAAAAAAAGAAGTGCAGTCTACTTGGCTTCCGACATGACACCTAAAGAAATTTTCGATTCGATGTTCAGTTGTCTTACAGCATTGTAGAATAGAGAGCTCGAGCTTGTTTATGAGTAACTTCCAGTTTATATCTGTTCTTTCTTGTCTTTTTGAAGATGATGGAATACGAATTGCGGGATTTCTATTCAAAACTCTGACAAGAGTTCTTTCTTTTGAAAGGTGGGCCCAAAAACACCATAACCGATAATAATATATATTTTGTATGTGTAACCAATCCAAACATTGCAATTATGTTGTCCGAATATTTGGCTTTTAAATCATGGACCTCATGTCAATTTTAAACTCATTTTACGTTTACTTTGTTAGTGCGTTCAGTGACGAAGGTCAGGCGTTTGAAATCAACTCTGCTGTAATTTCTGCCGCTACGGACCCAACACCGGCGGAAAAACTCACCGAGCCTGTCATTATTGCCTCTAGTAACTTGGAAGAAGTTAATGTAAGTTTTTCGTGTACACAGTAACATTCATTTGCTTTATTCCTATAAATTCCTAAATTCAAAATCAATGAGGAAGTTTACACACAGGAATTCAATGCCTTTATATGTTACTTTTAGCTTGACGGTGCCGAACCGATTTGTGCATTTTGGGATTTTAATATGTAAGTATAATGAAGATAGATGGTAGATTTGCTGATTAACAAGTGTAGTTTAACCTGACTGTTCTTCATTGGTGAGAGGAGCTCAGAAATTTCTTCTTGATTTCAATGGAATATAGCTAATAAATCAAATAAACACTTATTTAACTTGTACAGACATGCTTCCCAATAAGGACTGTACCATCTTTAGCAGACCATATCCGTCTGTGTTAACTTAAATGATTACATTGGTAGTAGCGCCCGTAGGCAATATGGAGCGAATCCTGTGTTCTGATTGGCTACCCGAGTGGGCAAGATGGGCCCATCTTGCCCGCTCGGGATTGCCCATATTGATCCCACGCATTAAAAAAATTGAATTGGCGCTAAGTTCTTAATTCTTGTATAACGTCGGCGGTGGATACGCAAAAAGCGACAGAAGACAGCCAAAACATAGAAAACAGAAACGACTCACTTGAGTTAATTGTGGCACAAACACAGTTGGCTCTCCTGGCTCTCGAAGTAAACAAGTCATTCTTAATTCTTAATAACGTGAAATCTTTTTGCAATATAATAAATCCTTTACTGACCAAGCTTGTTCGGTCAAGATGTCTGGATATTGACGATATATGACGATATATCAAGATGTCTGGATATCGACGCTCTGACGAAGGGCTAACGCTCGAAACGTCAGCTTTTTTATTCGTTACGGTGGCCAATTAACAATTTCGACTTAGTTTATATAACCAAATTACCTTGTTGCCCCCACCGACGCAGCACCACAGTTCTTTAGAAACTTTCAGCTTTTATTCATTTGTTTGGATATAAACCTGGTTCTTTATTTTGCGTTTTATGGACCTCGACTCCGTCTCGATCCACAAAAATGAGAAAAAGGAACTCGCCCAATGTCCAGCTGTCTTGACCTTACGCTTGGTACATAACGCATATTTGTAAGCTGTTGAAGTTAGCTGCATAGTCTTCTCTTCTCCTTTTGTTTGCGCTTGCTCAGGAATGCACCTCACGGAGGTTGGTCTGATGAGGGTTGTAATACTTCGTCATACAACCGTATGCGGACAACTTGCCAGTGCGATCACATGACCAATTTCGCAGTGTTAAGGAAAAAACTTCTGCCCGCCTCGTTCCAAAGGGTAAGTACTTCATTAATATCTCGGTAAAATGTATGGTGCAAGCAGGGCACAATGAAACCTCCCAGATACGAATGTTTAATTTGAGTCAAGTTTGCTTATTTTTTTATCCTAACCCATTCAGCCTGCAAGTTTAAAGTTTTGTTGAGGTATTTTTGATGACATTCTTTAACGAAAGGACAACAGTTAGCAATTTTCGATTTAATGTTTAAGTTGCACAAGTGATAGTAGCAACAAGTTGATTCCCAGTGCCTATAATACTAACTTCATCGAAGAGGAACATCCGTTAGAGAAGACTGTTGAATGTCTTCATCCCATATTTTACCAAATCATTTCCTCCTCTTTTTGCAGGGATTTACTGCAATTAGTGACTTCATCCATTGGATTTACATCGCTTGTTGGATTATAATCGCGTTTGCGGCGATAACGTTTTTGACCCTCCTAGTTTTAAGCCCGTGAGTAAACCATATGTTCATTTTAATTTACTTTCACTTGTCAAATCAAATACAATTTTTGAAACACACAACTTTCACCGATATAGTTCTTGATGATTTCTGTTTCAGCTGGCTAAAGCCTGACCGTACATGGGCAATGCATATGTGTGTCTGCGCTTCTGTGATTGTAACCTTCGTATTACTCCTACTTGGCCTTGCATCTTACAATGACGTGGTAAGATAAATGTGTTATTCAGTTAAGAATGTTACGCTTGTTAAGTTCAACAGATCAGTAGTTCTTACTAATGGCACGGAGGGAACAACACAATGATACCCGGGCCTGGTTTTATGAAGTGTCCACCAGTTATCTCCCCTGCACCTGTGAAGATGAACCCAGTGAGTTGTTCACCCCTCAACTGGAGAGACGCTGTAATGTAATAAGTGAAAAAGGATCTCAACTCAACCACGCCTGTACTATGTTTTACTGTCATTCTAGCTAATTCAGGTGATAGTTGCCTATTAAGGACAACTGACTAGAGTTGCTATGCTTTAGAGACTAAGCTATCCTTATCATGAGGTTTATTGGTGCCACTTAAAGGCATTCATAATTGCATAACAAGCTTAACAGCTACTTTCTTGAAATATTTCCTTGTTTGCATTATCTTAGGGACTGTGTAACCTCTTCTCCTTCTTGGTTCATTATTTTTACCTGTGCACATTTTCTTGGATTCTTGCTGAAAGTGTTTACATGAGAACCTGGGATACGAACTACGGGCCAAAGAAGAAATACTGGATTGGATACTTCCTTCTCGGCTGGGGTGAGCATATCACTAGTTTCTAACTTGCAGATATTGTCAAACCATGTCCTTACCGTTTAAAACTCTCCTTCTTATTCGTTCAACTAAGGTTTGCCTGGTATTCCGATGCTTATCACGTGGTTTATGACTAAGATGGCCGGCTTTGAGAGCTTCCTTTCGTGAGTAAAGCATTTTCCGCTTGTATTATAAAGAAACTTAAGTTACCTCATGTTAGCCGGACATTATTTAAAGCTCTTTCAATTAATCTTCCACTCCATTCATTGAATTCATTTCAATAGGGTAAACTAACACGAGCTCTTGAAAGTCATTAAGAGAAGCTTATTAAAAAACTAAGGAACCACTTAGAGTCCTTCATTGCTTTTAAGAAACATTTTATTCAGCATTTAAGTTAGGTGCTAACAAAGAACTTTTTGTTTAGAAATGTAAGTGGTGCTCCACTCGATTGCAATGTGAATTCAGTAACTGGGGTTTTAAATTGTAAAATGGCCTCTACACAGGCTGATGTCTACGTTTTTGAAAATATTCATAGATGTTTATATAAATTTCTTGAAATTCACAAAATAAATAAACATTTGTTATGAACCATGGCAGCAACCCCTAGAACTCACGGTTTATTATGTTAAAACTTTCAACACTGTTCTTCAGGTGCTGGTTGTCAATATATCCTAACCCTAACCCTCTAGTATGGGTTTTCTTTGCACCAGCTTTAGTGTTCTTCCTGGTAAGATATATTTCTCATATCTTTTTATTTCAAGTTTGTGACTGAATTTATTACTCCATACACAATTCAACATTTTGGTCGTTGCCGCTGGGCAAATCATATTTGTGAGGTTGCTACAATTGCAGTGAATTTACTGTTTGTGCAGGCGTATCATCAGACTTGTGAACCGATGGAGGTTAAGCAGTTTTGAGTTGATGGAGAAAAAACTGCTTGTGATTAAAAAAAAAAAACAAAAAACAAAAAAAAAACACACTGACACTTGAAAATCTTTATCGTCTCTTCAGGTGAGCTGTTTTATTTTGGTAAGAGTGTGGAGAGCTGTGACTGGATTACGGAGACAAAGGCTAAAAGCAGATTATCCAAAAACACGATTCAGGTAAACATAACATTTAGATTGTGATATCGTTCAGCTCAGTGTATCTAAATGATACTTAATATGTCATTGCCAGTTTAATGAATCTGTTTTTCTTTGACTACAAGCAATGACTAAATTTTTTCAACTCCATCTCTTAACCCTGAGTCCCCAGTTGAGTCCGAGTCCTTTTGCTTCAACGGAATCCCCTTGTCCCAATTTTTTAGAGTCAGCGTTTTTTGCTGTTCCGGCATTTGTTTTTAGAGTATGTGCTTTTGCTCTTTTCAGAGTCCATGTACGCTATTGTATCATTCTGATGATCATGTTCCTAATTACTTGGTTGGTCGGCATTCTTCTGATCCAATTTTATTGGAAAGCGTTGTTATGTATTCTGTTCATCATTTGCTGTATCATTACGGTAATTTTTTTAAAGTTGTCTTCTTTTTCAAATTTTAATTATCCAATGAACATCTTAGTGCTAAGCTTCAGGCCGATTTAAAGGGATTTGATGGCGATATTGCGGTCCTCTACCAACTAGTCACTTTCTTAATTCGTCGGAAACATCATTTCGTTCAGTTCCTTATTTCATTATCAGATCTAAAGATTCCTAGCGTCTTTTCAGTAATACCCAAACTGTAAAAACGTCATGAAAATGCTGTAACAACAAAGCGTTACACTCGAGTCGCTAGGTGGTGTGGCAACACAAATTATACTTGAAAATTAACAACATCTTAATGACATCGCCTACTGGTTGATTGAAGAACCGTTTTCATTTTATCAATTGTTATTACAAATGACCAGAGGAATAAAATTTTACTTTTGATGTATTCACGGGTGTTTGTAGGCTAGTATCGTTTGAAGTTGTTCTCTATTGACTCTCAATTGTTTGTTTGATTACGCGCGAAAAAGTGTTGTTTATTATTCTCGTTGTACTCGCATAGCGACAAAGTCAAACAAAGTCCGTCCGTCAACGTCCAAAATAAAGTTTTCAGTGAAAATTCAAATTTCAAATGGATAACTTGGTCGATTAACGGACGTTGGCGAACTGACATACGATGACAAACTGTTCGTTGGCGAACTGACACGTTGGCGAAACGACCGGTTGCCGACCACACTTAAATACTGATAATTATTCTCAATCAATGTGTTTCGCATTCCAGGGATTGATGATACTGTTATTTTACGTGGTCATGGACCGCCAGGTATGAAAAGGAAGATTCCGTTTTACATATTCTTATTTGTGCAAGGTTTTTCACTAAGGCCCTGCTGATGAAATTAACAATCTCTCATTAACGTTTGTCATTCGCTGTGAGGAAGGGCTGGCGCTAGAAACTTCAGCTTTTGAACTCTTTTACGGTGGCCAATTTACAATTTGAACTTACGTATGGTGCACGGATCCTCGCAGTAGATAGCGCTATTTATGCAATAGCGAAAATCAGACCTGAAAAAAATCAGGCCTGTACGGGACTCGAACCACGGACCTCTGCGATACTAGTGCAGCGCTCTAGCAATTGAGCTAACAAGCCAACTGGGAGCAGGCCGTTAAGTTGATTCGTAATAAACCCGTGAAAAAAATCAGGCCTGATTTTTTTCAGGTCTGATTTTCGCTATTGCATGAATAGCGCTATCTACTGCGAGGATCGTGCATCATACGTATCTAATACCGCAGTTCAAAATATATGAACTTCATATAATCATTGTATCTAATTTGAACTTAGTTGATAAAACCAAATTACCTTGTTACCTCACCGACGCGGCACCAGTTTCTTTAAAGTGCACCTAAACCCAAACATTTTGTTTTTCGCTTAACGAAATAAGCGTATTTTTTGGAGTAATTCTGTGAAAAATTTCTTTATTTGCTCAAATCTTCAATTTTCTGTGCCCAGTCAAAGTACGGAAAATCGGCCGCCATCTTGGCTCACGACCTAGTTTAAAGAGGAATAGTTCTAGCGGGTAATGTGACATCAAATCGAGAACACGAAAGTCTCCACTTTACACATTTTCACTTGTTTGGGAAGGTTGTCGATATTGTCAGAAATATGCCGACTAGGTGTGTTGTATGAGGAATGTATGAAGCGCGATACCCTCTTGCAAATTTCGCACGTTGCTACATCCTCCTACAATACACTTAGTCGGCATATTTCGGACGATATCAACGACAGCCTTCCCAAACAAGTGAAAATGTGTGAAGCGCAGACTTTCGTGTTCTCGATTTGCCGTCACATTACCCGTTAGAACCATTCCTCTTTAAACTCGGTCGTGAGCCACGACGGCGGTCGATTTTCCGTATTTTGACTCGGCACAGAAAATTGAAGATTTGAGCAAATAAAAAAAAATTTTGCACAGAAATACTCCAAAAAATACGCTTATCTCGTTCAGCGAAAAAAATTTTTGGGTTTAGGTGCACTTTAAAAACTTATCCCCTTTTCTCATTAACGTTGCCTGGCAACAATTGGATTGTGGTTATCTAAAGAATCGGACTGGAGTATTTTTTTTTAATACAAAGCTATATAAATCAGGATAAGCAAAGAGAGACATAGAGTATGTGTGGCACAACTGCTACTTTTCCAATAGTGAAGAGAGAAGTTTCAGATTTCTTTTTTGCGTTCAGGTCCGCGATGCCTTTAGACAATGCTGTTGTTACTGCAAACGAGGTCGACAAGGGAGCTACCGGGTTCAAGGAGAAGACGTTGGGATTCGAAAGCAACAAGAGCAGTGCGAGGTAAGGGACACTAATTAAAAAATGTCCATCAATGCTTTCTTTTGTGGGTCACAAACTGCTAAATGATTTTTGAAAGCTTATGTATCCAAGATAAAAAAGCAGATCACTTTTAATGCTGTTGAAAACAACTGGGGTTTTTAACTCTGTATCAATTCCAAAGGTGCACTACGAAATGTTTTAAGCTGCACTTAACCCTTCCTGTATGTCTGGGCTGTCAACGTCTAATAAAGCTCTGCTTGCTTGTTCCTTTAGTATCGAGAGCCAGACACGGAACGTTTAGTTGTTGACGTGCCAGAAGAACAACCAGACCATGAAAATGACACTGCACGAAAAAATGAAGAAAAGAAACGCGAGCACGAAGAACCGCTTTTGAGACAGAAAGTCAGGACTGAATTGAAGAAAGAGCCCTTGTTGGAATCTTCCGAAGAGAGCTTTGATCCATTGTATGAGAGCGTTGAGCGGTCTATTAGAGTTGACGTTCGGCCAGTCCAGCCCAAAGAGCTGCCAGAAACAGAGCCTGTATATGCTAAGGTATAGTGCTCAAATGAATTTTTTCTACGTTTAGATATGTTTGTCAGCAGAAGCTATATACAGTAATCACGTTAACATTAATCAGTATGGTATGAGTCTTCTTTTTCCTCAAAGTGATAAATGGCTGATATGGTGTGCTTTATGTGATCCAAGAGTTGTGTTTTCAATAGGTCGATTTAAGTAAGAAGCAAAAACCTCTCAGGCATCCTGAATCAGATAGCGACGATGACGATTTAACTCCAGAAGAAAGGGAAGCACGAGGAATTCGAGGATTGACACGAGAGCAAGTAATCCGCATGGCGAAAAAATCAGACGCCTCGAGGAAAGTCCTTAGGGATTACGAAAGTCCTACAGGAAGCACCGAGGTCCTGGACCCGAATCGGCCAGTTTACTTGTTAAATCAGCAGGAACTTGATGAAGAACTCAAACAATTTCGATTATTCTTTGCGCAAAACCCATCAGCTTTATCAAGCGCACAAAGAACGGAAGAAACCGAAGCCAGCAGCAGTGTTTTCAGGAAGGAGACATCCACCTCAGTGTCAAAATCCCAATTTTCGTCCTTTTCATCGGTAAAAGAAGAAAGAAGTCTCTTACAGCGAGGATATGACAACAAAGAGAGTACTACAAATTCAACCACTAAAACAGTCATGAGTCAAGAGAATCGTGAAGTAAAAACCAGTGTGAACGTCAAACAGACATCTGCACTGAAAAAGGGGGCCACGGCAGCACTGATTTTAGAGGAAACAGCGATTGATTCTTCCTTAGAAGAATTGGACAGAAGGAATGAGGAGAACAATAAAACTGACCTGTTAAGCAAACCTACAGCTGTGGTAAGATGTCGTCATTTCTGACCTTTTCTCCTGGAGTAGTTTCCTGAACAAAATGAATCCATAACATCTACATAAACTGAAACAGTTTTACAACCCAACATTTCATGAAATCCAGTGATTACTTTAATCAATTTATTTTTCACTTAATTATTTAGTTAATTTGAACGACATGAGATAGAATTAATCGAACTGTTTTCATCTTGTCATGTGATTCTAAATAAATTCAATTAATACTGCATAATTATATAGTAATAATAAGTATTAGTGAGCTGCATCAGTATTAGGCCTTATTTGTACGCAAAGTAATACGTCAAAAAGTAGTAAAAAGTAGGAAAAACACTTAAAAAGTTCTAAACTTACAACGCTACCTTGTAGCGTTAATACAAGGTAGCGATTTACACAAAAAGTCTTTCAAATGGTCTGTATGAACTTAAGGGAAATGACAAGATTTTTTTCTTAAGTTATATTTTGTGTCCTTTCCTTGGATAAAGAGGATGTGATGTAACTTTATTGAATATTTACCTACCTTTTTTCTAGAAGTTCATATACGTTAATGGCCCTAGATAACTATTTTTGCTTATGGCGTCTTTATAGATAGGTCTGAGCCGTTGTAAGCTCAACTTTAGAAGTGCCATGCACTGAAAAACTGTTTGTGGTGATATGGAGAACTAAACTAAATTTAAATTTTCAACTGTTTTTACTTTTCAGTAGAGTGGCAATGATGCTGACAACCTACGTTCAAGTTTGTTGAGTTACTTTACTTCACAATATCAGCAGGGTGATACGACAGGGGACAACTGGCGTGAATTATATGAAGCACTCAAAGAGTGAATTTGTAAGATTGTACACCGTTTTAGAATTAAGTACTTAGTAGAATTAGATATTAAACGAGCTAAAAATGCCAAACGCTAAACAGTTTGTGTATAATGAGAATTGTTATTTCCCTGTTAAAATCGACAGTCGCTGTGGCTTAATTACAGGAAAATTTGTAACAGTAACACAACATGGGAAAGTGTAGTGACTCTGATGATGACTTCCATACAGGTTGTCGAAACGTCAGTCACCATCACAGTCAATAGTCCTTCTCAGGACTACACTCACCCGGACGATTGCATTACACTTTCCCATGTTACCCCCGGGTTCAACCATTTACTATGCAACTTGCTCAATTACTTTTTTCTGGAATTTCAAGACCTCACTTTTTATGACAAACTTTTGTACTTTTATATTTTTCATACCACTTCTCCACTGTTAACCACTAGCTCTGTAATTCGGGCTCAGAGAATGCTCGTGTTGCAGGTTAGTACAAAGGTTCTTTATCAAAAGTACAACTTTGAGAATTAACTCATCTTAACCACAAGAAATGAATACAAAAAAAAAACCCAAACAATTGCTACAACAAGCTGATATTCTAAGTTTCAGGTGAACATGGCTAACTAGGTGTTTCAGTTTCTGAATATCAAGTCACCTGATAGTGTTATTACAATTTTTCATGACACTCTGTGCATGCAGCTAGTTTGTGTTATAAGCTATGTGTGTCATTTTAGGATCATGATTACTGTAGATAGTCTTGTCCAATATGTTGGTTGAAGTATCAATCGAGAGTCGGTCCATACTCTGTGGTCGACAGATAGTCAATACTTGACTGTCGAGAGTTGGTTGACAGTCAGTCCATACTTGATCCATAGTTGGTCTCTGTTGTGTCGACAACCAAACAATAATCGGTTGATATAGCGACCACATATGGGCCGAGTGTCGGTCAATATTTCGTAGATGCATCTCGACCGAGTATCGGTTATATCTCAATGGAATATTAGCGATATATTAGTCAACTATCAATGTTATATCAGTCGACTGGTAAGTTGAATATCAGTCATGTGATAGGTATCAATCAAGTGTGTTAATGTAGTAGATATATATCAAATATAGTCTGCAGTCTGCGTTTTAAGGTGACCAGTTTTAACCAATGGTAACCTTTTCTACAATTCCCTGGCTAAGTTTGCTTGTGATCCATAAATGTCCCAGTTTAGTTAATTTCTGTAAAGGTATATTTAAGGTTCACAGACAGGAGCATGTAGAGAATGCTTTTTGATAGACAATCACTTAAGTAGAGGACTTCAGTAGGGGTGGTGTTCATAGAAGTTTCCCAGAGGATATAAGTGTAGTAGAAAACATGGAGGAATTTTTTTGTTCGTGTTATCATTTCTAAGCCCTTTATCAGTATAATGTGCAATATTTTTGTAAGCATTTAGTCATAATCACTCTGGGACTCGAAAGAGTTTTTAGGGCTACTTCAAAATTAGTAAAAAAGTAGTTGATAGGTAGTTAGGGGAATAAGTCTAATAAAAGACTCGAGGACGTGGACAGTTTTGTCTTATTTGAAACGAGAAAAAATAGCAAATTTGACATAAAAACAGGGTGGTGGGAGAGTAGGAGACAACTTGTCACCAAAGCCAGTGCTAAATAACAGAACGACAAAATTAATGCGTTTTACACTGAAAAGCATCTCTGAAAATTTAATCCTGCAAGCAGCAGTCAGCTTGCAATAAACAGAGATGAACCCTGACCACTCAATAGGCATTTTTGTTTTTATCTTCTAGATCTCCATAATCAATAATCTTATATTTAAAACCAGAGGCTTGTTGGGTCGTTTTATTAACTAAAAATTTAAATAAAAAATGTATACAACTTCTTTTAAATAATCAATCAATATATGTTCCAGACACTGCCAAGCCACCACCCCTAATCCAACAAAACCAATAAATCATTGATTTCCGTCGACATTCCTCGAACTCAGAATGACCGGCCAACAGTGCCTGATGGCTAAGTCAGTCGATCCCAGTACGATATTCAAATAACACATTAGGATCGACTTAACCATATCTCAAAAATACGTACGCATATTATAATTATACATTGGTTTACGTCGATCAGTTAAACCATCAAAATTCAAATATAAGAAATCATGTTAGGTAGTTGAGAGTTTACAGAAATGCTTCATCCTGTCAGAAGCTATGTAAAGATATCTATCATTCTGTTCCATATTAATGAACCTCTAAGATGAATTGATTGCTTCGTATAACCTGTGTTAAAATATAAAGTGTTAGTACGTGATGTTTACTTCTTAACTTTAAGCTTTAAGAGTAAATGTCAGTAAAAATCAGAGAGATCGCGGACACAGCTCAAATTCAATTTCGCCCATACTTTGTCCATTGGTAGGCTTTAGTCCCATACATATGACAGCAATGTCCGTTTGTTAAAATTTTCGCTTGTATAGGAAAAATCTACTTGAAACAGTTTACAATATTTTCTTAAACAAAACCCTTTGAAATTGTCATAATTCGTGGCGCTGTCGAGTCAGTTCATCGTAAGTTTTCAACTAGTTTCACACTAATCCTATTCGTCTGATGCTTCTGCAATTGATTGGCAGCACAACCAACTCATAACCTTTCCTAAAAATAAAATATGATTTTTTTTTTTTCAAGTTCACCTACAGCTGCTCTGAAATAGATTCGTTGGTACTTCAAACAAACGTGCCAAAAATGCCCGCGGTACGCAATGAAATCGACCAGGAAATCTCCTGAGCCATGTTCAAGGATAGCTTCAACTTTGTTTCTACCGTTCTATTTCCCTGGGATCTTTTGTATCTGTACAACAAGACATTCCTGAAGTAAGCCAGTTTTCAATATCCGCCATTTTGAAGTAATAACACTTCACATGTTTGCAGTTAAAAGTTTCCAATGTGAAGCTCCTCTAAATTGTTAAGCGAAGCAAAATCAATGGAATAAGTTAAATATGCACCAGAGCAAAATGTAGAGGTACGTGTAACAGAAATGGGTCGAGAAACGTTCACAAAATCTGCTGCGACTCACCTCTTGACCTTGTATTTACGTGTTTGGCTCGTCATGACATGTTAGTTTGTTTCGTGCTATTTTCTGCTTTCTCTTTTTCACAAGCGACCTTTGCTAATTAAGTCGGCTTCATGTTGGTGACGTTTCCGATTAGAACATCTTTCGGTGTTGCGCTGGTGGACATAAAAACACCTGCAACAATCGTGGACTGTTCAACGCGGTTCAATTACTTGACTGATCTGTCACGGAATTGAATAACAGGCATCATCGAACCCGTGACTGCAGTCTTATTAATTTTGGGAGAAGTAATTTTAAAAAGACCCACATATTAATTGCGTGCAAAGAATGAACCCAATTTTTTTTAAGCACAGTGACATTCTAAAGTTGAATGTTATAGTCCCAAATATTTGCTTTCTGCTTGACCTCCTCAGGTAAGCTACCTATCTCTCGACAAGCAACAAGAATATTGTTAAATTATTCCTATTTTTTGGTTTCCCTGTTCTACGTAGAAGCTAGTGTCACGAGACCTGTTTTCCATATTTGATATTGTACACGAGGTTTTCTGCTTTGGATTAAAAACAGTTCTTCCGCCATCTTGATCTGGTTACTGTGTTCCTGGCCTTTTATTCGGAATACACAACAAATATCACGTAATGAGCAACATATTGCCAATTATTCATAGACTTGGACACGTAGTTGGGATTTTTGGCACTTTGAATTTAAACAAAAATAAATCACCATAAAGCAACTTCCTTTCCATCTAAACCCATTCATTTTCTTACTTTTACAGTGTACCATAAAAGCCCACAAGACTGAATGAAGTCAGATTAAAATAATGGGGAGAGTTTTGTTGATCTCTTTATGAAAATTTATTATTTACACCATTAGATTTTAGAGAAATAAGACTGAAGTCAAAAGGAGACTTTGATACTGCATATTAAGTGGCAATGGACACCAATCTGGCTGCTATTTAAAGAAATTTATAGACATTTTTCAGGGGATTTGGCTGTGACAATTTTACAGGAGAGAAATCATGTATGAATCACTCAAGAAATTTATTAGCTCTCATCCTGGAAGCTCTAACACTCTTAAGGAATACATTCCTGACATTCATTTTCAATGAAATCTGGACAAAACTTCTGAAAACTTTATTGGAAATTTTATTAGTAATTTTACCAATTTTACAAATAAAGTAGACATAACTCCCATATAGCATATTAGTCTAGGCAAGTTGTGTACAGAGAACAAAAGACTAATAATTTAAACCAGTAGTAAGCTTCTGGGAATAATGACAAATTCTTGAATAACAGCTTGCCACAGTAAATGTCACTGCCAACCATTCTGTCTATACTACCAATTATTGGGTCACTTCACATTACCTTAAACAGAAGAGAACATAAAAGTTAATTCATATCATCAATCTTAATAAATAAGAATTTCTTGATCACGACACATACAGCAAAGTGAAATATAACTCAACTGGTTTGAAATTCATAGTGCACTTCGACTCAACATTCATTTCGCAAGGCAAAGCATTCTACTGAAATGAACAGGACAGAATACAGCTGACGCCATTCGTTTCGAATAACACATGAACATGAAGAAAAGGGCACCAGTTTTACTCATGAGACAAAGCCCACGCATTTTTTTGAGGTTAATGGACTAGTTAGACCGAAAGCTAGATAAATAAACAATGAACTGACAATAGAAAGGGATTTGGGGGCCAATTGATAAATAAGTTTTACCGAAGTTTTTCCTCTAGTTAGCACATGAAGCTCGAAAAGGCAATAATAAAAATTACCGCCAAAACACAGTAAAAAAATAAGCCAAAACCGTAGTTGATTGAGGTAAGACCATAACCGTTGTTAAGACACATGCCTACCCACCATATTCAACAGACTTAGAGAGCAAAAAGGCCAAAGACGGTTTTGGGTCATGACTTGAAAAATCCACCAAAACCTCCCGAAAAATAATTCGCCGAGGGTTGTAGTTAGAGCAACTTAATCCTGAAGCTGGAACATTTTTTAAAGCCTTGTGTCCTATATGACTGTAAAGAGAAGGAAAAGACGATGTTATTTAAAGTGATTTGATGCTTGGGGGCCACCTCAAACTTAACGCAATTTTACT